TTTTTTTTTTTTTTTTTTTGCTTAATTTCAGGAAACTAATTTTCAAAAAATTTATTTTCTTACGTCATAAATTATTCATAAATATAACAGCTCTCCAGTTGATGACACTTTTAAAACAAGTTGTTCTCTGGCCCATTGATACACACCATATCTGACTTTAGGCACTAATCACCATAGATGACACATTTTACCTTCAGCTCGGTTTACATCATCGCCCAATGACTTCCACTGGTGATAACAGAGTTTCAAAATTCAAATTTTTTTTTTAAATTTGAAAATTTCAAACATCAACAATAGCTGAATGAAAAAAAAAATTTTTTCTTGCAATAGATATAATTTAGTGAAGAAAATTTTTTTACAAAAACATCTGTTACAAGCTTTTTTTTTTTTTGAATAATTTATAAACCATAAAAATCGAAATGATTCATTCAGATTTGAAATCATATCGTTGTCCCGAAATATCACAATTTGTTGTTTTGAAAACTCAACAGACAATAATAAAATGCTCAAATTTTATTTGTTTCTTTTTTTCTTCTTTTCTTTTACCTTTATTTATAATAATAATAATAATAATAATAATAATAATAATAATAATAAAAGATTTTCTTTTTAGCTTATTATAAACACCCATTTTTTTTTTGCTTTTTTTTTGTAAAACAACTTACAGCATTTTTTTGATGATTACTGTAAAATGAAAATATTTCAATAATTTTATGGTTTTTTTGCTTTCATCAATATTGAAGTTTTTCAAAATAATACCCAGAAAAAAGTCAAAAAAAAAAGTGCAACAATTAATGTGCAAAAAAAGTTATATGTAATTATATGTAAGAATTTAATTATCTTCCAGATTTCAGTTCAATGAAAACGTTAAACTATAAATATATCAATCTAAATTTAAACAAATTTTAATTGCCAACAACAAGAAAACTAAATTTTTGCTACTTAGCAAAAAATTTTCATTTAAACGCATATTCATTTATTATATTTATAGACCGTTATCACCAATTATGTCGGAACGACCTTTTTTTCACAAACATTTTTCCAACTGTAAATCACAGCTTTGGTATCGAAAAAAAAAAAGAGGAAAAAGGGAAAAAACAGCTGTTTTTTTTCCTTTTTCCTTGTTACTACTACCT